CATCAATCGATAGAGCATCCTCGATAACCCTATGATTGGCCCGAACATGCCCATCACGTGTCCTCGGAATAGGGGCAAAAAGTTTGAACCCCCTTGGGTACTTTTCAGTAGTCAGACTTGAGAACGCAAGAGTACCCCCAATAGCAGGACTTGCGGATCCAAGGGTATCCCTCAATAGTAGGACTTAAGGACCTAAGGGTATCCAGCAACAGTAGAACTTAAGGACCTAAGGGTATCCCCCAATAGTAGGACTCGAGGACCCAAGGGTATCCCCCAATAGTAGGACTTAAGGACCTAAGGGTATTCCCCAATAGTAGGACTTGAGGACCTAAGGGTATCCCCCCATAGTAGCACTTGAGGACCCAAGGGTGTCTCCCACTAGTAGGACTTAAGGACCTAAGGGTATCCCCCAATAGTAGAACTTAAGGACCCAAGGGTATCTCCCCATAGTAGGACTTGAGGACCCAAGGGTATCCCCCAATAGGAGGACTTAAGGACCTAAGGGTATGCCCCAATAGTAGTACCGTTACCACGTTCCCGGGTAACTGGTAACGGGCCGTTACCGTTCCCGAGTAACTGGTAACGGTCCAGTTACCAGTTACCGTTACCCAGGTAACTGGTAACTTCTTCCGTGTGAACCGTTACCGTTACCGTTACCGGGTAACGGTCTGGGAACGGTAACTGCCGACCCCTACTCACACCTTGATTATAAATTTATGCTATGATAAAGTTGATCAATATGATGAGTTACGATATGCGTTTGAAACTGTACGTAGTCAATAGAAATGGACAAAAAAACTCGAACGTAAATAAATTACAACAACTACTAATACCACTAACAGAAAAGTTTATTGGTAATATTTTGTTAAAATAATAAAAACAGAAATATATACATGTTTAGATAATGCTAATAATAAACGAAAAGACGCATAGAAAAAAAAACTTGTCAGTGATTTACATATATTTGAATAGTTTCATCAAATTAGTAAATAAAAGCATTGTAGGTCTTCCTTCTTATTAGTGAAGATTTTTGATCAATTAATGATTCAAACCCATATTAAAACTGTTTTCTATTAATTTCTCATCTTTATAAGCATCACATTGGACTGATGTGTATAAAATATTGATCAGATAATTAGAAAGTTGTGGATAAGTGTGTTTATAAGATAGTCTAAAGCTCATAGCCACACATCCATATGTGCACTCACACTGAAATTTACATATCGACATCTAAACTTAACAATACAAAATACATACGAGTCATAATACAGATGTGCCAGAAAAATGGCATGGTCTGAGTGTGTCAAAAACATCGACGGAGTAGAAACTGAAAGGAAAGAGAGCATGCATATTCAAGTCAAGATCGTCGAGAAAGTGAAGAAAATTTGCGTTCTGATTTCTGATACTACATTTGTTACCTACTGACACTCAAAGAAAAAGGCATTTTTGTACTGTCATTGATCTTTTTGTTCCTCTGACATATAGGTTTTCATCTCTTATAATCCTGATGTCGTCAATGTAATTGACTCTTTTCCAAATGTTTCTATTTACAATCTTGCAGTTGACAGCATCAGAAGGTAACGAAAGAATACGATGAAATTATTTCGAGCCTCCTAAAAACTAAAAGTCGAAAAATCCTATATTTCTTGCCTTGTCTTATAATTGTAAATATAACTGTATCACCAACAAATTTTTATTTTTCAAAATATCCGAAATTAAGTCTTTCACCACGACGGAAATAGATTGTGCCGTCATCAGCAATCGATACATTATTAATAGCTATGATAACATCATCCTTCTGTAATATTTTGCTAAGAACACATGCAGGTTCAACCGATGTTACTAAGATACCATGTTGGTCATCATTCAATTTTAAATAGTTGCGATATAATGAATGTTCCATTGATTGATATTGAAAGACCATTCTAGGAAAAGCTGTATATCTATTGTGCAATTCAATATCATCTAACAGGTGTTTGATTATTAATACTGGTATAATGTAGCCAATTGATTGAGCTTCACTTCGGCCTTGAAATGATATACCGACAACTTGTTTGCATATGCAAACAAACAAATCAAAAACACAAGTAAAGACGCATTGTACAATTCATAATTTACGCTTGATTTTATGCCGAAGAAATTATTGAATGGAGTTGAGAGAAAACAGATTTTCGTTTGTTTCTTTTTACAGAAACAAAAGGGATAGTTTTTAAAGATCATACACATTTTGTATGCATCGAAGTTAGCATTTGGTAAAGGATGGGTTTTCTCTTAGAAAGTACAATTGCGATTTTCAAAAAGGCCTCCAAATTCTGTAAAATTTTGGCTGCTAATAGGGTCACTAAGATACATTGAGGATAAAAGTTTCAGCTTGATACGGCTGAGTTATAACGCAAACATGACATTTTAGAAAACAGCAGAATGTAAGTTAAAGATAATGACCGATGTCATTTATTTCAAAATATAACAAAATGCTGTACATATAGCCGGATAGAGGACCAAATGTTCTGCAAGTTGTGGTAATTTTGAAGTTTTCAACTAATTTTACAATTGTGAAAAAACTTTGAAAGTTTAGAATTTTTCGACAAAATTTCAAACCATAAGTTGTAGTGATACATTCGAATCTCAATAACAAAACCTTGTCGAAGATCAAACTTGCAGAAAAACAGCGTCGTAGTAGTTAGAGCTATAAGCGTTGAAAATTTGAACAGAGTTCATTCTCTTCGAACCGAGATATGCTCGCTTTAGTGAGTAGAGAGCGCCAATGCTTATGCATTTTTATGAATAATAAAGTGTAGTCTAGTGTCCGACGTGACCAAGTTTTTGGGTCATGGCCACGGTCACGATCACGATGGATACGAACTGAGACCATGATCCTGAGTCACGAGTATAATTTTCACTTTTTTGCGAGTCATGATATCTTTTTCTTTGAATAACTTTTCTTGTATATCCAGGAAACCTATAGTCAAAAAAAAACATAAGATTACTAACCAGGTGGAAATTATGTATTTAACTGATTCAATACGGTTCAATGGAAAAGTTACTAATGCATTTATCGTTTAAAGGCACTAATACAAAAAAAACATGAGCCTTTATTCGTCACAGGTAATGCTCTGGAGGAACAACTTCTTTCGATTCTCATTTTCCTAATATTTCCAAAATTCTTATTGTGAAATCATTTTTTGTGTGTGAGAAAAGCTGTTACTAGTGGACAGTAGCTTCTTCCCATGACTCACTTTATGCAATAGAAAGTGGTCTTGAATTAAAAACCAACATATAATAGAATGTGTATTTTAGTGAAATAAACTAAGCGTTATGTGTAAGTTGTATTGTATTAGCATTATGCTAAGATAATTCTATCGTTCACGAGTCGAATGCTTAGAATGAGAAGCATGCAAAACCGATGAAACAACGAAAATATTAAAGAGTAGATAATAATAGTAATATATTACACAAGAATCTGAATACTGGTTCTTTCTTGGGTAATAATCACTCAGAAAATAGTAACCATGATAATTGAATTACGAATACAAGAATAATATGCGAGCGTGTCTCATTATTGTTGATAAGTAATGATGATTTTCCTTTTACTTGGCTCTGATTTCTTCTTAATATATATTTATAGTCATTTTGATTAAGAAAATTTGAGAAAACTATCATTATAAGTAAATGGTATGAAACCAATTATGTTGTGAAAAAAGTGATGCTACTAAGATACACATACATATATGCCTATTTTGACTATGGTGATTTTCCATGATTAGGCTTCAGTCACGGTCATGACTTTTAAAAAATATAAGTCACGGTGGTTACACTGATCACTAGTCTACACTGTTTATCCTGAGTATAAAATTTCTTGGGAGAAAACAATGAACTAATTCATCCAAATCTTTCTTTTTTCATACCTTGAATAGCCGGTCCACCACTGTTACCAGGATTTATTGCAGCATCGATTTGTGTTGTTAACAAATATTCAACTGAATGCGAGTAAGTTGACATAACAACTCTTGAAACGGCACCTTTTGTCACCGATAAATTATCGCCACCTGTGAACAAATGCGAATGATATTATCATATCAAAACCAACGTAAATTATATTTACCTATTGGATAACCAACCACTATTATTGATTCCTCTAATCTAGGTACATCATTGTTAAATGTCAATGGTTCTACTTTATCCCAAAATTTATCGTCATCAACAGTCATTATAACCAGATCGCATTCATGTGCAATGTGTAATACACGTCCAGGGTATTTTTTTAGGATTACCATGTTTTCGAATACGAATAATCGACTGATTTGCAACGGCATGAGCATTTGATAGAATCCATCGATTTTTTATTATAAACCCTGATGAAGTTTTAGCAACTTGGGGTTTTACTTGCCTAAAATAAAAAAATACAAAAATGAAATATTGTTGAAAAATTTTAATTGAACACTTTTCTCTAGACTATGTTTTTTATGGTTTTCAAAGATTTTCTCTCTGGAAAAACATAGATACAAAATTTTGGTTTCATATTCAGAAGGAGAACACGATTCTCACTCGTATCCATATATTTTCATTTCTTTACAATGATCTCAAGCGGATAGAAAATAAGCAATAATTTTGCCTCAAACTTTCGACCCACCCACTAGTTGAAACGTAGCAAGATGTCATGATACCTGTATAAATTAGAAACAGTTTCTTGAAAGATTTTTCGTTTAGAATACAATTTTCGTTCTTCCAAGCTAGTGAAAAACATAATCTATGTTTAAATGCAAAGATGAGTCTAGTTTAATCGTTGGATCAACATGTTTTAAATAAAATATACACTTAATACAGTAGTCGCAAAAAGTCCCTCCCCTCCGGTTGAAAACTATCTAAACCTCAACTGTTTGAGCTCATAGTTTTTCCTGCATGTAAAACTCAGTGAATCTTGATTGCAAGGATCAACCTGACGTCGATCGAACTTAGTACAATGGATTTAGTTAGAAAACACTAGTTTTTTTTCATGTGCTTCAAACAAGACTTTTTGGACATTTTTCTAATTCTCGACTATTTCAATGCATTAACGCTCATTTTTTTATTAATATATAAAGCTCTATATGTCCATATTCCGTCATATACAGGGTACTCCAGTGTGTTCCACTTTTGAGATGCTGAGAAGCTTCCATTGTCTGAGACGGTCTCATTCTGTATCTCCTCTTTATCCATAGCTATAATCTTGAAACTTTTAGGCAAAACTTGAATATAGGAGAGCACTCATTGGGGAAAAATCTCAAGACAATTGGTTGAAATTAGCGATAGTTATAGGTCATTGTTCGACGAACCCCCAGTAACACTCATGTCGACACTACCCAAAGATTACTTCATAAATTAAGTAAACTGAAATCGTTTCATATGAAATTTTCAGTGATAATAGAGATAGAACCGAGCTCTCGAATGTGGGATCGAACGCCATGAAATTTGATTCCTATGCTAAAATATTCTCGTCAAAATAAAAAGTTGATGTTGGTCTCCTAGCTGCTCCATATGAAAGTTGATCAAGTTCTGATTCACTTTTCGATCAGGATTCACTGAGTTCTACTTGCAGGAAAAATATGAGCCTAAACGGTTGAGGTTTAGGTAGATTTTAATGGGAGGGGAGGAAGGGAGGGAAGGGACTTTTTGCGACTACTGCAATTCCTGATAGAAGTGATAATTACAGTTACTTGATTTCTTTCCTCATTGGGCCTTTTAAAAACTACAGACTTATTCAGATGTTGTCCCTAAACACATTAAAAAGAAGGTTGGCTATAAGAAAACGAGCTGATCTGCTGCATGCCTATCAAGAGTCCGAGTTTTCTTAAAAGACACAAATCTCTATAAAAACAATGAAGCTATACTATCTTACTAAATTAGATGTTAACTCAATGCGACTCTTGAACTGCCTTACCATGGTGAATTAAAATCGCATGGAATTGACGTCCAAAAGATCTTGACAACACTGTTTAACAATAATTCCAATGATTTGATAGCTTCAGAATCAGTTTCTACTTCTAATAATGAACAAACAGTTACGTTTGATAGTTGTTGTTGTAATGATGGTGGCTGTCGTTGCTGTTGTTGATCTTCTATATTATCACCTAAATCCAACTTTTTTATAATCAATGGAGATAATTCATCGGTCGATGGATCTCGATGATCTTCGAGTTGAACATGATCATCCATGGAGCTATTAAAGCAAATATAGATCTAGAATAAACATGGATGTATAAACATAGATTATTGATTTTTTCTGTGTATTTTAAAAAATAGGATAAGCTGCATTACTTTCATAAAGAACAAATTGAAAATAAAAATACAATTAGATATGAAGCGAAGATAGGAAATGTATTATAACTTTGTTCATCAGTGTAACTTGAATACGGCACATGTTTCACGTGACGAGAGATATTTTCATCTTTTTATGAATAAGAGATGTCATTACTTCATATTCTCTTTTTCTTCTAGCCAGCTAGGGTGTGGGTGTGGGTGTGGGTGTGGGTGTGGATGTAGGTGTGGATACAAAACGAACAGGCGACGACACCCACCCCACACCCACACCCATCCTGAGTAACTCTAGAATTTGCCCAGACAAGCCCATGTTTCGTCCTTACAATAGGGAAAAAAACCATGCTAAAATATGATTGGTCTATAGAAAAAAGTGATCAATCAATCAGGTTTGAGCAGATTTTTCCTTTCTTGCGCGGATAAAACGTAGAGTTGTCCCGACCAATCCTGGGATTATCCGGAGTCATCTTTCAGTTGACCCGAAAATCGGTACGTTGTGTCCTTACAATAGCTGAGAAACAGTTGTCTCGATTGTGAACTGTATATCCGTAGCACTACTAACTTTGAGTACCACAAGGTGCTAAAATGGTGCTGAAAAGATGCTATGGTGCTGTGGGTTCCAAACCTGCACTTTCCCCCTTGTCGACAATGGTGTGTAACTACTCTGCAAGAAATGAGAATATACGACGATTTATAAGATCTGAATGGTTAAATTTTTGCGCATAATTCTGAATATGTCTATGCACTGTAATACAATAATCAGACTCAAATTATGACTTTCAGGAGAGTCGGGCAAAAAAAAATTTGTAGTCCTCCATGTAGCTGACTTATTGAAGATAAATCGACAAAAACTATTGTTCATGAAGACAGATTTGAATCAAAGCTTTGTTCAATATATTCTTTAGATCAAATAGTACTGAGCGTAGATGAGGACAAGACTGTAGGTCATAATTATTATGTTGAACATTGTCCGAAGCCTTTTGTTAATGAAACATGAAAAAAAACAGAGACATCTGGTCAAAAATGTAAAAACTTGATTGACGATCATCGTTGACTTTATATTCATGGACTGTTATTAATTATGTTGCAGATGAAGACATCAATATAATGTTACATCCGCTATATTCGTCAGACTTGACACTAGATAATCTTTGTCTAATGAATTCTATCGAACGTAGCTTAACTGATTAGCTAAATAAAACAGGATGTGATCATGCGGTTTCCAAGGTAGCTAAAAATTTTTTTGAAAAATAATTGAAAAAAAAACTTTTAACAAACTGATAGAATGGATTGAATGTGCTATGAATAATCAGAACAACTATCGTGAACATTTGCTGAATTAGAATTGAAAATATCTCATTATCTTCATATTTTTATTTTAACGATGTCAGAATTTTTGATTAATCCTAAGTAATACCAAAGCATTCGGCTAATATTAGTGGTAATAGTTAAGTATTAAGATTCTTTGTTTAAATATTACTTCTAATACAACATTCATAATTTGATATATTACTATATGATCAAAAAATAGTACTTAAGAAAATGAAAGAAATTATAGGTTATTTTACTTTTATTTAAACTCGATAAACTCGTTTTTTGGACAAAAAAATAAAATAGAATCATTATGTTTTTCCATGGAGTATGAGAGATTTTTAAAAGATCCATTATTCAGAGATTGACGGAAACGAAATGAAGTTCATAATTTTATCACTAATTAAGTGACAAGCAGATAGGTCGCATGTGATTCCGCTCAATTTCATAATTCTACATCCGTTCATGTTTATGTCTTTAGAAACGATATTAAGCGAGATTCTTCGTTGCATTCACGTGAAAATTCAATTTATTCTATTGGTCGTTTTTTTTTCTTCTTAAAACTAAGAGTAAATCAAGACATTATTCATATATCAACTAAATAAGGTAAAGTCAAAAATTGTCATCCAAGATTAACAATAATAGTGGTCGTATTTCAATGGCTTTCAGTTTAGCGCATGCTCATGTCATGGTTATGATTTTATCCTTGATGATCTTCGCTTCTACAGGTCTTTTTATGGCACGTTACGGACGTTCATTACGTTTTGGAACTCGAAGACAATTGCTTGGCAAATCTGCTTGGTTTCAAATACATCGACTTCTTCTTAGCATCTCATCTTTATTGATTCTTCTAGGCTTCTTGTTAATTCTAGTTCGGAATCATGGTCAATGGGTGCAACCTAAACTACATGAGTGGGATTCATTTGTTCATTCAATATTGGGTGGCACAATTTTTAGTTGTAGTATAGTACAACTATGGTTAGCATTATATCGTTGTAAACCTAATAGTCGGTTTCGTTTTATTTTTAATTGGAGTCATCGTATCGTTGGTTTATTAATTTTTGGTCTGTCAATTCCAGCGATGTTTCTCATGATATCTCAAGCGAAAACGAACCGTACTGTTCTCATCACAGCTATTTCATTTTGGACAGCCTGGATAGTCATCGTCATCATTATTTGTGAAAAAATTGAATATAAAAAACCAGTATTTGCACTATCAATGACAAACAATGCTCGACAAGATGATACAAATCAGGAGAATATTAATACAAATGTGCGACCAGATACTGAAGCAACTACACAGTTAAATACTGGTAGTCAATATCATAATCAAATAAAATTACTTTTGCTTGTCATTCATATTATTATTAGTGTCACTCTTTCTGTTTTACTCATTGTATTTTATCCAAAATAAACCAGATTTACACCAATATTCTTCGGATTTAGACTTCAGTGAGAGTGTAAATATTGTTCCAACTGCTTATCTTTTCCAAATAAATGAAACGTCGAATAATTGATGTTGTCATATTCAAAATATGAAAAAAAAACATCTGTTCAATTAAAGAATTTCATGAAATTTAATCATCCATAAGAAATATATCAACAGGATTTCATAACGAATTTAAAAATTGTTGAAATGTAAAAGAACGCGCAAAAGTCAAAGACTTTCAGAAAAAAACATACAAATGAAATATAAATCGATTTAATGTCAAGTTTCTTTCAAATTTTTCTAAAACTTTCAATTGTAAATTAATATTTCGTAGCACTAAGATCCTTGAGAAAAATCGTTAGTATATCCAATTATGATGTTATTAAGTTCGTGGAACACCTCAATACATTCTGATAAGATACTTAGCTTGTTTTTCTTTTTATAAATTTTAACACTACTCAGAAAGTGTAACCAGATTTATGAAGCCATTTCCATGCGGAAAATACGTCGTTTATTGTAGATGCTTCACAGTAAATAGGAATGTAATACATGCTACCGTTTTGTTAGAAAACGAAATCTAAAAAACAAGTAACGCTCGTCGCTTCGACTCGCTATACCCTCGACTGAATGAGCCAGTTTTTGTATATTCAATTTTGTCTTTCAGAAATAATCAATAAAAATATAAAATATAGTTAACTATGTACCTTCCCAACAGTTGAAGAAATATCTTTCTTTTTACAAATAACTTCAAGGTTAACGCTTCTTCTCGAGCGAAATTTGTAAAGAAAGTTGAATTATCTGTAGACAAGCCTAATTTAAGTGCTACACCGCTCTAATGAAATGAGCATGACACAACGATAATTTGATGAAATGCGTTCCTTTGGATTTATAATACACCTTATACATTGCCTAAGAATATTTCTACTAATAGTTGTATAATTTCAACGCATATAGCATACGAGCATAATCCATTTATTGATAATAACGGACATGAACAAATAGAAAAAAATCTAATAAACATCATTCCATTAATGTATAAAAATAACAGAATAATAAAACACAAGAAAATAATAAAGCAAAAAACCACAAACTGAACAGAACACATGTTGAAAATGTGAGAGTAAATAAAAAAGACAAAACAAAAAAACTGCATCAGGAAATCAAAAAACTCACTAATGCACGTTGCATAGATAAAAGTATAAATATCAATACTGTAGAATGAAATTTTGTACAATAGAGACAAAGCATTAAAACCACTGGGAAAAACGGATTTGTGTCTCTAAATAGAATTTATCAAGTCTTTCCATTTCGGCGAGTTAAGATTTATTTGGTTTGATTAGCAAAACCTTGTAATCGAAATGTCGTAAAATAATTAAATCAATTAAACGTTTTAGACGCGGCAAAGGTACATAAACTGCTGCAATGTCATCAGTTTCATAGGACAATTTTAGATCAATGACGACTTTATTCAACGTTTGACCTTGACTCTTATATGTCGTAATGGAATAAGCAGGTACAGGTGGTAGAGCACGTCGCTTAATAGATAAAATTGTTTTTGATTTGATTTTGGTTTCTTATCTTTTGGAAGAATATCACCAATGTCGGCGCGAAATGTCTGTTCCACTAACGGTATGGGAACAAGTTTTGCTTGAAGTGCTTCAAGGTTGCGTTCAATTTTTGATATGGCAATTTCAATTAATGCATATAATGGTCGATAAATATATTATGTCTTGTTCGGAAATGTTTCTGATAAAATATCTGTTGACATGGAATCTCTCTGATAGACTAACTGTCGAAAGATTCTATTGATACCGTTGATAAGACCCAGTTCAGTAGCTATATTTTGTGTTAAAATAACAGGCATTTCAGGAACAAAAGGTAACAGTCCGGGCAAATGCTCTGTCTTACTATCAGATAGTTCGAGGAGTTTTTTTAACGAGGGTGTGGGTGTGGGTGTGGGGTGGGTGGGTGTGGGTGTGGGGTGGGTGGG